TTTCCCAGTAACCTTGACAAGAGATGTTTCCGAGGAATTTTGGATTTGAACACCTGATTGGAGTAGTTTCACGATGAACTGAAAGCATAATTTAAGATGGGGAGTATAAACAACTCTTTTGGGGAGTTTTGCTATAAATAGAAATTGAGAAATGAGGACAGTAGCTGAAGGGGATGTGGGATCACATGCTTTGCTCATTCACTCTGTTACTCCCCTTGATGTCTCCTTTCACCTCAGATCTCCATCATCTCCCGCCTCATCCTGATTCTGGCTGCTGGCTTTGCATTGTTATTTCACTGAAAGAAAATAGAAACAATCAGAAAAGAACATCTCCAAGTTGCCACCACAACTTCTAACCTCCTGGCCGCACCCTTGTATATTCAACATGAATCGGGTGGTTTGGTTGTGTGCTTTCCTGCAATGGTTTTCGGCTGTCTGGGTGCAGGAATGGGCCAGGGGAAGTACTTTATTAACCAGGGTTGGGGGTTTGCTAGGTGAGAATGATGAAAGATTCTGGGGACAAAGACAAAAAAAAGTGATAAAATTAAACTGTGATACAGTCCATTCTTTCTGACTCTTGAAAACCTAAGAACTGCCCTACTGTCAAAGCCTGGGTCCTGGCAGTCTGAAAAAATGGCTCAATTTTGGCAGAGATGCCAAGATGGTGGCAACTCATATTAGCTTTAAGGTTCAGAGATATATACTTAAAACATGCAGCTTCCCTTACATATTCATTCATTGTACATTTTTCCTCTACGTATATCCAAACTTTCTCCTTTCGGCCTATTGGAGTAACATGTTATCTACTCAATATGTAAAATAACTTTGTTTAATTTTTTCATAGTATAGCCTAAATTATAATGGGAAAAAGGCTGGTTTTTTTCAATCTGTACTATATGACTCCTGTCATAATTTTCAATGGTCATCTTTCCAGAATGAAGAGCCTCTTTTTCAGCTTCATCATATTTGGCAGCGCTTGTATCCCCAATACACAACACATGACCATAGTTCACATTTATTTCCTTAGTTTTTTTGTATTTTAATTTATCTTTATTGTTGCAAATATTATAGATGTCCCTTTTTTTGCTCATTAACCCCTTCCACCCTCTACCCTCTCCCCACCCCAGGCCTTCACCACACTATTATCTGTGTCCATGGGTTATGTATTAGTTTTTAAGCACCTTTTGTACAAAACATCATATTAGGCACTGGGAAAAGCATATAAGAAGAAAGTTCTCTACCTTTAAGAAACTCTTAATCAAGTATGCAATCTATAAGCTAATGTGGGCTGTGTATATAAGGAGCCAGAGGACGTAAGAAAGGGCGGGGTAGAAGAATGCAGAATAAGGCACAAGATCATCTCACCTCATTGCTCCAAGGCCTAAATGGTAATTGAAAGAAAACACAAAGGACCCAATATCAAAGAGCTTTCAAGGCAAAAGGCCTAGATTTTTGGAAATATTTAAACTCTTTTTGTTTCTTAGGTAACAAAAAATATCCCACAGAAATAAAAAGTAAAATGGAGTGTTAAATATCCAATATGTAAGTAGTATGCAAAACACAAGTGTCCTTTTTGGAAAATGCTATTCAGAATAACAGCTCTATATGTCTAAAACCAATGCCCTTAATATGCATGCTATCTATGGAGGCACAAGGCCACAGCTGAGAGCTGAAGCCAAGAACAGGAGTCTCGGTAGACATATACTCCCATTGGGCAGAACAGTTTTCTATAATCTTTCTAAATAATCTTTAGTTTAGCTGCTATGAAACTCTTAGGACTAAGACATAATAAAGTCCATGGCTGTGAAAGCTATTTATAAAACTTTTCTGAGAAGGTTACATAAATATATTGTCTCAAGTACCATGTAACTAAAAGTTATAGCCTATTCCTTAGGGGATACACTAGGATTTTTTTACAGATTTTAAAACTATCTTTTTGTAGGTTAGAGCTTTGCAAATCTGATTATATATATATTTAATTCTACTGTGATAATTCTGTGTCATCATAATAATAACCACCAACATTTATGTTCTGGACACTAAACTAAGCACTTTACACATTATCTCAATTGATCTTCACAAAAAGACTATAAGATAGTATTAGTATTCCTATTTTGGAAAAAAAGAATTGGGGTTTACATAAACTAAATGACTTCTCTAGCAGCTCACAATCACTAACTGTAATGGCAAAGCCAGGATACACCAAGTCCCCCTGACTACAAAGCCAGTGTGGACTGAACAACCTCTCTCTCTCTCCATATATACATGCACACACAAACATTTATATACATATATATTTAACTCATTGCACATACACATATACATATATGCACATATACATATACATATACATATATATATATATTTAAGCCATTGCATTCTCCTCTCTGAGTTATCACTTTTCAAATGTATTAGTATGAACATTATAACCTCTACTAACCAATCTGATGACCAGTGGTTGGTCCTACAAACACACCAAAGATCTCTATCACATCCCATTATAAAGTCCTTAGTATACCAAAACGGATGAAAATTAGTACTAGTGTCTGTGTTCACAATTATTTAATGAGGAAATGCAGCATATTAAAAACAAAAGGTGAAATGGGTTTTAAGATCAGATATTCCCTTTCTACTATTTATAGAGGCCAGGATAAACTTCTGACTGCATTATGATTAAATGACTATGGTTTTCATTTATTCAAACTCACACTCACATCATTATTTCTGATATAGTAACCCTGCCAGTGATATAAGCTGCCAACTGGTAGACTAAATTTCAGGTTCACCTCAGGGTCTCTGGTGAACCCATAAAAGCTATATTTATGTATTTGTTAACCCAGGATTTTAATGAAAAAAAGAGTTAGAATATTAATAAATGTTCTGTTTAGCACAAGAAGTCAAATTTTTGCCATTATGGAGGGTTGCTTTCTCAAAATAGAGGGGGGAAAAAAAAAGAGCAGGCATTGCCCAAAGCAGATTATATGCAGATGTAAAGGAATTAAGGCTCAAAGCTTATTGAAAATGAACAACAGAAATTCATATTGTAAAGGTAGGATTTGGGGAAATATATCCTACAGAGACTTCTAAGAATACAGAATTTTAAAATGAAGGTAAAGGCTGGAATGCAACTTTCCAATTTAAAATAAACCTTTGAGTCTTTTCTTTCTTAGCCAGGATAAAGACCTAACATAGGTAACAAGAAAACTTTCTATTTAGGCCTTCATTTTCTCTTTTTTTTCTTAAAACTAATAAATTTTGATTCTCCGGGTACTCTTCCAATACTTGGTGAAGTGTCCTGCAGGAATCTAAGAAAGAATATGTTCTTTACACAGCGTTTCAGCAGAATATATCCAGGTGGCACATTACTGTTTGGTATTCCTTGGAAGTTGCCTCTTCAAGGAGAGGCACCAAACTGGATACTAAAAAGAAGCAGAGCCCTTGAGACCTTGAGGCCCAGGGATTTACCGATCTAACCTTTCCTCTCCTTCACTAACATTGCAACAAAACAAATAGCAGTAGTTCAAGTGCATATTATATGTATTTTTTATTGACCTCAGATCCAGGTTTCTTATTCACCATTATTAAAATCTGTTTAGAAATTTGAGAAGAAATAAGGAAGACGAGTGACCAGCATTCTTAGAAAATTACTACTCCATCAAAAAAATAGAGATTAAAAATCCCACAGCTGTAGAGCCAAGCTTTTTGTTAGACGTGTACAGCTTTCTAAATCCCATAAAAATCTCAACATCTGACCCATTTCATTTTTACAAGGGAAGGGGCTATTACACTGGAAAATATGCGTAAAAATCTGCAGCATTCAGAGGCATTAAACAGGTTTATTTCACATTTGTTTCCTATGTATCCTGCTTGATAGACACACACTGGAGCACCTGCTGCTATAACTCTACTCTCCACCAGCTCCCAACCTTGTCTTTTTGAAAGGGATTAGTTGGAGCTTCTTTGGAACAGCTGAAGTAATGCTGCCATCTCCTGCTCATTGCACAGACGGTAATGAAATTGCCCTCAAAAGGAATGCAAAGAAGTGGAATTGGATAAAACTATAAACTGCAGACTGCTGGCTTTTATAAATTGTTTTAGCCAGTAGATTCAAACCTATTTTATTCAACATTGCAATGCCATAATAATTTTGTTTTAAATTTGAAGTGCTTTTGAAAGCAGTTTTGGAGTCTATCTAAACATTAAATTGATAGTTCTCGCAATATTTCGGGTTATTGTTTTCATATGACTTAAATTTCAATATCTATTTTGTACAATGTAAATACAACATTTAAAAATGTTAAACATAACAAAATTTTATAAACGAATTTTAATATTAACTAAAGTGTTCTCAGGAAATTTATTTCTCTCCAACAATTCCAAATTTAGAAACACTCACAGAGAAGAGTGCACATAACAGACAAAAGCTAACAAAAACAGAAATTGGTCTTCCTTTGTAATTTTACCAAAGTATAGATACAAAAAAATGAAGAAACTTTTCAAAAGTATCTTTCCATCTCTAAATTTCAGAATTTAAAAACCAGAAAGTTCCATATCTTCAAAAAAATAGTTTTTCCTTTGCTCTTGTTATTGCTATAAATCAGTAACACTGGTTCCTGCAATTACCTCCGCAGATTTTTGTGGATAGAAATTGCATTCTAGTCTAGGATGAGAATCCAAGTCTTATGCTCATTAGCCTTAAAGAGCTCCTAAGAGGCAGGCTTTTCTCTGAAAACATTCGCAACATTCTGCCAACTGTATCCCAGAAGAATGAATACCGAATCCAGGATTATTTTTAAAAAGAAAGCCCAATTCCCCTACCAAATAATTATAGATGGCAACACTCTCCTTTAAAGTTATGTATAACTGCTTCTGAAAATTAAAACGAATTTATTTACTTTATTTAATGGCGAGGCAAAGCAGTTAGTTGCAATCTTTTGTAAAATACACCCTCATTATATACTTCGAGACAGCTTTTCTTCAAATCACTCCTTTCTGGACAAATAGCTCCCCTTGCCTTCCCTTTTCTTTAAAGACACATCCTTGGACCTGTTAGTTCACCTGTGTACTGAGGGCCCAACAAGGGTCTCTGCTGTAGGTCGCTAGTTCTGAAAACTTCTCCACTCTGTGTCACTGTGGTGGGCCTGGATAATATGAGATAAAGGCAGATCAGGAAAATATTGCACAAACTCCAAGTGCACAGCATTGCAAATGATGGCCTGTGGGAAATTCTGCTTGTACATTTTAATTCCGTATAAACACTCTTCCACATCTGTACAGGCCTCTTGTGGAAGCCAACTAAATTGCCCTCGTTTCTTGTTTTTCAAGCACTAAAGAGTGTTTAGAAACTTGTGGTATGTATGTGGTCCTCATCACCGATAGATCATCTTCACCAATATACCCTCATCAATTTACAAAATGCATTCCTTCTACATATATTAAATGCAGAATACTTTAATCTTCATCAAAATCCTATAGTCACTCAGTTTACCCACATGAACAAAGGCTTCTTGGAGAACATCCTGGGGCTTGGGGCTCTGTCTTCTCAGGTGGAAAATGTGGCAATCAGATGAGTTCATTTTCCGGTCCTTCCATTTGAAAAATTCAGACTCTAACTGTAAGCAGTCTGCAACAGGAAAATCGTAGCCTAAACTCCTAGCCAAATTCTCTCTAGGCAAAAAAAGAGTATTTTTCTCCAGAAATATAGGAAGAAAGCAGGAAGGTCATATTTTGGCCAGCCCACATAGTTACTTCTAGAAAATAATGCAACCAGTAATGATAGCAGAGGTCCTGACTCTCTGAAAATAATTTACCACATTGCCATTAATGATTACTTTAGGTGACAGTATTAAGGAACATACCTGTTTCATTATGTAAAATACTATAATAGTTTAATTCCCTAAATTTTGTACCAGTTAGCAAGAAGCTAATTTTGGGAGGTGCTCATGACAGCTATTATAGAAATAGACTTTTTTTTTTTACACTAGTCGTTTTTTAAGATTTTTAATTAATTAATTAATTGAAGGTGAGTGCTGACGTTTCTTTTGTTTTTTGACTGAAAATAATCAATATGGAATAAATAAAAAACTCTTTACACTAATTTATAATAACCTGAACACACATTTCTCTCCCTTTCTTCCTCTTTCCCTCACCCCTGTCTCCCTGTCTCCCTCCCTCTCTCCTTTTTTCTGTCTCCTTCCTCTCCTTCTCTCTCCCCTTCTCCCCAGAAACACAGCTTGCTTTTAAAGTGTTACCTCCATTTTCCACAAATAACACTTACTTCCCAATGTCACTGTGCTAGAGGGCACTGGGACCACTGGCCAGGCAGGTTTCCGCTTCATCAAAGGTCCTGTTGTTGCCACGGCTATGACTGTAACATAGAAGTTTCTTTGAAGACCAGCTCATTCCCTTTTTTCAATTTTACTGCCACCCAACAGGATAGTTTCAAAGTGTAGCTGAATGTTAGCTAAACATACATCTGTCCTGCATTCTATTACCTCGCACTCCAGATGGCAGCAATGCAACCAGAATGCTTTGAATAAGACACTTCACGTGACAGCACTAGGCAACAATAAGGTAATAACAATTATGCTTTTCATGCCTTGATCACGGTTATTTAAAAATCTACAATTTAATATAGTTTTCTTTCCACAGAGGGCTCTGAATTCCACTTTTGTACTTCAGCATCGTTATCATTTTCATGTTTATTTTAGAGTAAACTTTCCAGAATTTTACGTGACCGAAATTGGGAACATAAGATTTTGAACCGGATGACTTTATTTCGAAAGGCAGGCTATGGGTGAGGATAGAAAACAGTTTAATTTCTTCTTAAAAATTATACATGCACTCCCTTCTGAAATAATGACATAACTGAATCACTTTATGATCCACATGTGGGTTAATACCTCCCAGTAAGACACAACATACACCCATTTAGCAAAACATCTGCTGACCCCTGAAACTCAACAAGTATATCCAGCATCAGATCTAAAAGACAGGGTTTTAAATTTGTAGCATTTTTATGTTAATATTTTATTTTCCCCTTATGGATCTCATATTTATTTTTTTTATGTGCATTTTGCTCCTTTTAACCTGGTGGCAGCCCTGTGAAATATCACAGGCCTTTTACTCAGTATTTTTCTCTAACAAGCCAACCAGGTACAAACGGGATTTTTATATTCGTTTGTAAATTTTAGTTGAGAGCAGTTGAAAGAAGGAAAAATAAAGAGACAAATACTACATTTGTGTAAGCTTTAATTCACATCGCTCGTACAATACTGTGCTGTTGGCATGTGCCTCGATAAATAGGCTTCAAAAAGAAATTATTGCAGTGTAAAAATACTTTCCCTGAATTCACGTGCTTTTTACTATTCCCAGGTCTCAAAATGGCTTTTAAAATTATTTTTTCAGACTCTTAGAGCTATGTACCCCATATTGTGATAGGATATGTTTCTCTGCCCTGCTCCCCAGAGTGGTGTTGGAGTGAAGGGAAGTTAAGACAGCTTGGCACCACTCTAGTCTAAAAGAGGCCCAACTTGAGAATTTCACTTTTGTTGCCAGAAAAAAAGGAACGTTAGAAATTAGTGTCAAAAGAGGCTGGGGAGTGTATGCCTGAGAAGAAAGTTCACAAATTAACTAACTAAACAAAATAAATAAATAAGCAGGTCAAATTTATTCATCCAACAAAATATTCAAGTGCCTACCACAACAAGCTAGGCACCAGATATATAGATGGAACAAAGTAAGTGCTTCCATGGCTGCTCCACGGAGATTATAATTTCCAAAACACATGTTTCCTTAATATTCTCCAAATTATGCCCATTTTCCAGATTAGGCCTGCTCTGACACCTTTTGGCCTTCGGGTAGCTCCAGACAAATTTCCAATACAGAAGAAAAAGAGGCCCAACAAAAACATAAACATCCACTGCCACAGATCAAAACCTTATCTTCTAGAGCATGTCAGTTTCAGTTTCCCAGCTCTACCTAAAGTAACTGCATTACCTCAGCTGACAACCCCCAAAGCACAGGATGAGGGGACCTCACCGGGTAGGGATGGTGGGCTCTGCAGCATCAAGGCACAAAGCAAATGCAACCTGAAATAGTAAACTGCAGCCCCACTATCTTTAAAGAGTGAGAAGAACCTCTTCCTAAGGGCAGCCTGCCGTAGCCTGCTGCTGCTGCTGTTTCCTTTTTTTCCAACCCTTTATGACAGGCTGACCCTATCTTGCTTTTTTATGAGAAACCATCACAATTAAGGACAGCAACCTAAGGAAATCTCAATAAGGGAGTTTTTAAAGACCAGGATAGTTTGATAGAAAAATAATGTTCTGCTTGGAAGACATGCTAGGGCACTAGGTTTTCTCATTTTTATTCATAGGAAGAGTAGAAGTGTCGTGTTCTGAATTATTTTTCAAGCAGAGAAACTATAAATGACTGCAAGACAGAGAAGCAGAATTCAGAATATTGTTTCATTTTTACAAAGCAGTACATGCTAAGGTAGAAAATCAGAAAATACTGATAATCAAGGAAAAGAAAAATATTAAACTATATAACTGTCACTGAGTAATAAATACCATTATTACCTTGGTGTACACCACACTATACATGTTCTTTCAAAATCAAATCATGCTGTGCATCCTGTTTTGTTCCCTGATTATAAGTTTTTTAAAGGTTAGAAGCATTTATTTTTGTTCTTTAGGCATAAATGGAGCTACAGAAATGTCAGTACTATAGTGTATATCCGTGAGATTGTTGACTGCCTACCACGGCTTATCTCAGCTTCTGTTTTCCACTAATAGGTCCCTCACCAGGCACCAGCTTCTTACTGCCCTCTGCTGGCTGGGTTTGAATTCAGTCTTTTTAAGCTGTTTTGTTTTTTACCATTTAATTTTACGAGACAAGTAAATTCACTTGTTCATGAAATGTAACACTTAAAAACTTCTTATAATGGTACTTAAAAATAACTCCAATAATTTCCTGTAGTGTAACTTCATTTCTTTAATTTAAAATGTTTTCTTATGACAAAAGCAATACATGTTGATTATAGGAGAACAAGTAGAAGGGAAACCAAAATATCCCTTTCCAGAAACAACCATTAGAATCTGATGTGTATCCACTCATCTTCCCTGCCAGCATGCAGCCCTATTTCCTTTATTTTTTAAATAAAATGTGGTCCTATTGTACGTTATGGATATTGCTTTAAAAAGATTTATATTAATACTCTTCTAGTCTGTCCATTTTTTATGGCACCATAATATCCCATTATGTAACTGTACCACATTTTACATATTCTCCAACCAACAAAAGTTTCACTAACAGCTCTATGATATACTTACAGCTCTAACCACCTTTTCACCTGTAATTTGCAATGTTTTCTCTTAACCGAAGGCATTCTGAATTGATGCGCTACAATTTTTCTCCTTTATCAAAAATTGCAAGGGCAACAGAACCCCTTGGCAGGACCACAGAGTGATCGCCAGGCCCTCCATGTTTATGTTTCACAACTCGGTTCAGTCACAGAGAAAGAAGAAACTTGAAAGAGACCGAGTTTATACCTATAAAAGCACTTCTCTGGCACATTCTCTTTCCAAAGCCAATTTGCTGCAGAAACCAAAACGGGAGTGCAAATGGAGTGATGAAGGTGGCCAGCGACTGTGGAGCAGAAGAAATAAGTAGAGGAGTATCTAAAGGATGTTTCATGCTAACCAGGTCAGAATTTAGGAGACTGTCCCTTTAGTGTAGGTAAAAAATCCTTAGGGTCACTCTCCTCCGTTTCCAAGCTTTCCGAACAAAAGCCAGGTTGTAAATGCAGTTTGACCCAGTCGCATTGTGATTAGGCTCAGCTTTTAGGGGGGAAAAAACTGATCAAAACATCTTGCTTGCAATAAAGAAGTTTCAATTTAGGAATGCTTAGGCTATTTGAAGTATGTGTTTTTTTAAAGTATTGATTTATTTTTGCCTGGAGAGCTCAAGTTCCAGTCCTTCTGATGTATCAATACAGGCAAGTGTACAGGCGCCATTTTTCCAACAGGCTCCGATGATGGTGAGCATTTTCCCAGTATTTTTTTTTTCAATTATGGTTTACATTCAGTATAATTTTGTATTTGTTTCAGGTGTACAGCATATTGGTTAGACAATCATATATTTTACAAAGTGATACCCCGATATTTCAAGTACTCACCTGGCCCCATAGTTATTACAATATTGACTATATTCCCTATACTGCACTTTTACATCTCCGTGACTATTCTGTGATCGATTTGTACTTCTTAATCCCTTCACCTTTCTCACCCAGCACCCCAAGCTACAAAATATTTAATTAAGGTAAGTACATTGTTTTTTTTAGACAATGGTACTTACTACACATTTAATAGACTACAGTAATTGTGTAAACATAACTTTTATATGCACTAGGAAGTCAAAATATTCATATGGCTTGCTTTACTGCAATGGTCTGGAACCAAACCCGCTGTATGCCTGCGATATGCCTATATTTACATAGTCCAAGCCCTATATAGGTCACCCTCTGTAAGATTAATCTTCAACAGTGACCTCGATGAGCCTTCTGCCCCCAGCACTTGGCCACCGAGTCAGGCTTCATCCAACTGGTCCTCTATGGAGGAATGGGAGAGCCTCGCAGCCTCTCTCTTGGGTACCTCCTTAGCCCAGCCATGTTCCTCCACTGCTCTTATAGGAAGTTATTACTGGAAAGTTCTGGTCTTCTGGCTTGATTGAGCTGAGGAGCCTGGCTGGGAAGACAATGTTCCATCCCTCTCAACATCAGCCTGCCCCATCAGCCTGGGAGTAGTGAAAGCTGTGATGTTATTTCTCCTCCTTGGCTAAATACCCCTCACTTCCAAGTCTCGAGAGGCATTTCAACCTTGCTTGTGCTCAACATATTCTTTGAGCCCAACTGTGTACACTCATCTAAAAGGAGGGAAGGGGGGAAATCAAGCTTCCATTTTAAAGGCTAGATTAGTCTTTAGTAAGACTAGTAGATGTTTCTACACTCTTCTAGTTTATAACCTCTGGTTCAGCTGCCTCAACCCAGTTAAAGACAGCCAACTCTTGTTTTAAGACACCATCATTAACACAGCCTTTTTGTTAACTTTTCTATGAATGCCCTAGTTCATTTTTTAAAGCATTAAAGTGGCTTACCAAAAGTACATGTCTCAAGATTAGGCCAAATTTTTTTTTTAAAAAATAGAAATTAACAAATAGGAAGTGGAATATTTGGCCTGGAGAACAAGACTCATTGTCCACAGGAGTAAAAGAACCATTAAGTGTTTGGTTCAGTTTTACCTAATTTGGGGCACGTGCAGGATGTCCTCAACAAGTGCACACAGCAACTGGATTCATAAAACTATTTTGCCCAATAAAAGATGAAAACATCTGCTTCTGCCCTGGCACTTCAGCTTGGATGGGCTCCCCTGTGAATCCCATCAAAGCTACAGAGAAATCCCAACTACTGTTTTATTTCAGCTGGATGGGGAGATTGCCAGATAAAAAGGTACTTTAAGGGGAAGCAGGAGCAAACAAGTGAAATCATGGAGTATGACACTGACAACAGAAAGCAAGCAATGTGGATGGGGTAGTGTCTCATGCATGAAAATCACTTGGGAAACCGCTGAAATAATCTGGGTCTTTTTTCCTTTTTCTATTTTGCTTTTTTTTAAATTTTTAAATCCTCACCCAAAGGTACTTTTTGCATTGCTTTTCAGAGAATGGGAGGCACTGATGTGAGAGATACATCGATTGGTTGCCTCCACATGCACCCTATAGGAGGCTGGGATTGAGCTTGCAATT